CATCTTAAAAATGTCATTCTGAGAAGGGATAAGTGCCAGACTATAAAAGGCATAGAAAGAGTTAAGAATACTTCTCAGTCATCAGGAATATTTCTTTTTCTTTGTTTTTTTTTGGTACCAGGGTTTGAACCCAAGGGCACATAACCACTGAGCCACATCTCCAGCCCTTTTTTATATTTTATTCTGAGACCAGGTATCTCTGAGTTGCTTAGGGCCTTGCTAAGTCGCTGAGGCTGCCTTAGCCTCCTGAACTGCTGGGATTATGTGTGTGCACCACCACGCCTGGCGTCACAGCTTCTGAACACAGCTGCATGTGGTGCTTTTCACTGAGTTGCAGAGTGAACTGTCTCAACCTCTTTCCCCCATTGCTTGCTGGGGTTGATGGTCATTCCCTTCGGTGACCATCTACCCTAAAGCTTGTTGAAGGAAAAGTATACTTTTCCAGAAATATATTTTTTGAGGGAAGATGTAGGACTAGTTATATACAAACAAGTTCTGATGAACTTTGTACAAAAATAAGAATATTCATAAATGCTTTAATTTTTATTGTGTTAAAATATACATAACATAAAAGTTACAATTTTGCCCATTTTTTAATTTGAAAAGTAAATATATTTGCAACAATATAGACTAAACTTTTATTAGGTGACATTTCACAATACTTTCTCTATTTAATGATTATAATGTCTTCTACTTTGTCTAACTTACTGTAGGTTCCACAGAGAATTTTTTCTGGTCTGGTCCTTTCTTATTCTCAGGATTTTCACTATGATAGCTGTGTTTCCTGGTTTAATCTCAAGTTATACCTATTCTCCTGGCATCTAGAGCAGATTAGTGCCTTTCTTGAAATTATTATTATAATTGTTTCTTACAGTATTATTTGAATAGAATTATTTTATATGTTTTTTTTTAATTTTTATTAGGTATATATATGACAGCAGAATGCATTTGATTCATTGTACACAGTTGCGCACTTTTCATATCTGACTGTACATGATGTAGCTGATTGTACACGATATATCGATGTATTGTGCACTCATACATGTACCTAGGATAATGATGTCCATTGCATTCCACCATCTTTCCTGCCCCCATACCCCTCCCCTTCTCTCCCTGCCCTTTACCCAGTCAAAGTTCCTCCATTTTTCCCATGCCCCACCCCCCACATTATGGATTAGCATCCACTTACCAGAGAGAACATTTGGCCTTTGTTTTTTGGGGGGATTGGCTTACTTCTCATAGCATGATGTTCTCCAACTCTATCCAGTTACCTGCAAATGCCATAATTCTATTCTCTTTTAATGCTGAGTAATATTCCATTGTGTATATATACCACAGTTTCTTTATCCAGTCATCTATTGAAGGGCATCTAGATTGGTTTAGCTATTGTGAATTGAGCTGCTATAAACATTGATGTGGCCTTGTCACTGTAGTTTGCTGATTTTAAGTCCTTTGGATAGTGACCAAGGAGTGGAATAGCTGGGTCAAATGGTGGTTCCATCCCAAGTTTTCTAAGGAATCTCCATACTGCTTTCCGTATTAGTTGCACAGATTTGCAGTCCCAGTAGCAATGTATAAATGTACCTTTTCCCCCAACATCCTCGCCAACTCTTATTGTTGTTTGTATTCTTGATAATTGCCATTCTGACTGGCATGAAATGAAATCTTTTGATTTGTATTTCTCTAATTACTGGAGATGTTGAACATTTTGTCATATTTATTGATTGACTGTACATCTTCTGATAAGTATCTGTTTAACTCCTTAGCCTATTTATTGATTGGGTTGTTTGGTTTTTTGGTGTTAAGTTTTTTGAGTTCTTTATATAGTGTTCTATCTGCCATGCATGTGGCAAAAATTTGCTTCCAAAATGTAGGCTCTCTCTTCACCTCATTGTTTCTTTTGCTGAGAAGAAACTTTTTCGTTTGAATCCATTCCATTTACTAATTCTTGATTTTATTTCTTGTGCTTTAGGAGACTTGTTAAGGAAGTCGGAGCCTAATCCGATGCGATGAAAATTTGGGCCCACTTTTTTTTGCCCATTTTTTAAAAAATATTTTTTGTAGTTGTAGATATACAGCATGCCTTTATTTCATTTGTTTATTTTTATGTGGTGCTAAGGATTGAATCCAGTGTCTCACATGTGCTAGGCAAGCACTCTGCCACTGGCTACAGTCCCAGCCCCTGATTTTCCCATTTTTAAGTATACAGTTTTGTAGCATTAAGTACATTAACATAGTTTTTCAACCACCACAATCATCTTTTTCTAAAATTTTTTCATCTTCTCCAGCTAAAACTCTGTTACCTTATGGTCTTTTGGTAGCAATAACCACAAAAACGAATTCCAGCTCACATAACATTTATGAGAGTTTATAAAAGATGTTTACAATAGATAGTCTGTCTCTAAAAGAGAGTTTTGAGAAATAATTCAGCATCTTTAAAATCTTTGTAGAAACCTATTGTGAAATCTTTGCTTACAGTAGCAGTCTACTTTATGTATTGGTTTATATTCTTTGTTAAATCATTTTTAAGCTTAAAAAACAGTATTCTTATTTTTCCTCCTTAAAAAGTTGATTTTATCACAGATCCTCCTTTTGAGTCTGGCTTTTGAGTCTGGGAATCCCCAGCATCTCCTCCTTGATAACATCACTGCCTTTGCAAATGGAATTTTGTTTGTTTACATTGTTGGTTGTTTCCAAAGGACTCATTTTTCTTGGAACATGCTGCAAAACCAAAATATTTTGAATGCTACTCATTGACAGAACAGTAGAGTCAAGAGTTTGCATAATTACTTTAACTAGATCCCTGATAATAACACTAGAAAGAATATACATATATTTATAATTACTATCATTTCCAAACATTTTAAAAACACTTTCATATATGGGGACAATGCCATATATAAAATACACTGAGCAATGGTAGAGAAAGATTAGCAGTTTTTATTTTAATCATTTAATTTTTACAGTACTGTATTTCAGTTAATTTGTGACTATGGGGTAGAAATGCAAATAAGTTTTCCCTTTTTTACTATCTATGATTAAAGTATACCTTGTTTTATAAGTAGAAAAGGTCACATTGGTAGCATTATTGCTTTTGCTTCATTTAAAATGTTCTCTAGCCAGGCACAGTAGACATGCCTGTGATCCCAGCGACTAGGGGAAGCTGAAGCAAGAAGATCACAAATTTTAAGACAGCCTGGGCTATTAAGCTGGACCCTGTCTCAAAATAAAAAAAATTAAAAAGGGATATAGCTCAGTGGCAAAGCGTCTCTGGGTTCTGTCAATCCCCAGGACTGCCAAAAAAAAAAAAATTCTCTATAATAAGTAAATAAATTAATCCCTTTTAGAGACAGACATTATATGCATATATGATTACACTGAACCATGTACAGCCAGAGGAATGAGAAGTTGTGTTCCATTTGTGTACAGTATGTCAAAATATATTCTAGCTGTGTGCGGTGGTGCACGCCTGTAATCCCAGTGGCTTGGGAGGCTGAGAGAGGAAAATCATTAGTTCAAAGCCAGGCTTAGCAACTTCGAGGCACTAAACAACTCAGTGAGACCCTGTCTCTAAATAAAAAACAAAATAGGGCTGGGATGTGGTTCAGTGGTTAAGTACCCCTGAGTTCAATCCCCGGTACCAAAATAAATAAATAAATGACTTAGATAAATCTCCATTTCTGGGCTGGGGATGTGGCTCAAGCGGTAGCACGCTCGCCTGGCATGCGTGCGGCCCGGGTTCGATCCTCAGCACCACATACAAACAAAGATGTTGTGTCCACTGAAAACTAAAAAAATAAAATAAATATTTTAAAAAAAAAAAGAAAAAAAAAATCTCCATTTCATTGAATAAAATATATCATTTTTCTGAATAAACCTAGAAATCAGAAAAGTGTCAGAGCAGCTCTTTAGTATTCAGGTCATTTGAAGATAAAAGTTAAGATTGCTGTTGTACTTATTTATTTTTATTTCTAAAATTTTTACTAGTGTGCTATTGGTTGATACATGAGCAGACTCATCTTTATGAATGGCTAGTTTCAGTATTGGCATACTGTTGACTTTTGTGGCTTAAGTCAGCTTGTCATTGAGAAGTGATTCTCTTAACTGGTTAATTTTTTTTAAGTTGTTGATAGACCTTTATTTTTTATTTATTTATATATGGTACTGAGAATCAAACCCAGTGCCTCACACTTGCCAGGCAAGTGTGCTACCATTGAGCCACAGCCTCAGCCCTGGTTAATTCTTGGAAAAAAATAATTAATGTGGCAATCAATGATTAAGACAGGAATTCAACTTCTATTTGGAAGTATAATACAAAAATTCTTTAATAGAAATTTGGTATTATAAGTGAAGAGTTGACATTCTATGTACCAAAGAATTATGAATTATCATAAAAATAGTTTCAGCTTAATTTTGCTTAACATTTAAAGGAAATCAGCTGGTTACAGTGGGGTACACCTGTAGTCCCTGCTACTTGGGAGGCTGGGAGGATTGCTTAAGTCCACACATTCAAGTCCAGCATGAGCAACAAAGCCAATTGCAAAAAGCAAAAATGAAATTGGGATAGTAACATTTTTTTGTATCATTTCTCAATAATTTTTCATGTATTGTTTTTAAACATAGTCATTAAAATGCCCTCTATTTCTTAGAAGACACAATAAAGAAACTATAAAAATATTTTTGTTGGGACATCTGTTTTTTTTTTTCCTATAAAGTTGTGTATTTCTTTTTAACATCTAATGTTGGTGCCCTCAAAAAGCCATATATGGCTGTGTCAGATATTCTTCAACTTAGATATTTACTTCTAAACATTTTAATGAACATAACTATTATTAATAAATTACTATGCTAAACACTTGGTAACTTAAATGAATTATAATTATGCTCAGTATATAAAATCCCTGTTTTCAGGTGGTCAGGGGTTTATTAAATGTTAAATGGTTTATCTTATCTTTTGTCCTGTGGATCTTACAAAATTATTATTTCCTTATACTTGAAAGAGTTGGACTCTCTGATCGGGAGCAGAGATGGGAAATCTGTTGGCTCCTCATGGCTTTTCTTACACAACAAGGATCCTGTTAGACAATAAGAATCCAGAATAAGCCAATGTGGAACTGTGAAATGGTGAGCAGCATTAGGCGTTACATTTGTAAAAAATCTGTAATATGTCTCCTAGCTGCATATTCTTAGAAACTAAATGAAAAGCAACTGACATTACCCTTGATAAAGTTAGTCCTTTAGAGACCAAGATCTTATGAAAGCAATTCAAAAGAGTAAACATTTAGTGGTCACGTACATATCAAGTATTGCACAGAGATGAAACAAAACTGACCTAGCTTTCATGGAACTTGTAAACTGATGGGGGAATCAGAAAAACAAGTATTGTCATCTGTGTCAGGCCTTGCTGGTGTGTCAGGCATGCTCTAGTGATGCAGTTAAGTGAGCAATTAATTTTGTTTGGGAAGTTAAAAAAAAAAAAAAAGCTACAGAAGGACAATATCGTTTTACTCCAGGCTTTAAAGAATAAGTAGATATTGTCGCTTGACCACTAAGAGATAATGTGGGAAGGTCTTTTATCTTCTAAATAGAAGGACAAGTACAAAGAATTGTTTAAAATGCTAAATATTCTATCAAGGTGGCCAAGCCAAGGATTCCTTATAGGGACAGTGGGCTGGAAAGAGGCACAAAATGAAGACTTACTGTAATAGGCCAGTATATTCAATTTGCAGATGCAAAATACCACAGAGACTAAAAGTTGCCTGGCTTTGAGATGGGAAATATTATTGCTCCCGTAAGTACTCTCATAACACTTGATGATGTATTTATTTAAATTTGGGCTCTGCCTTAGTTAGAAGAAAGGCATGATAACAAAGATAAACTGGGCACAGTAGCAAACGCCTATAATCCCTGTAGCTTGGGAGGCTGAGGAAGGAGGATCACAAGTTCAAAGCCAGCCTCAGCAAGTTGGCAAGGCTCTGAGCAACTTAGCAAGACCCTGTCTCAAAATAAACAAATAAAAAGGGATGAGAATGTGGTAAAGCACTCCTGCGTTCAATACCCAGTACTGAAAAGAAACCCCCAAAAAACAAAAAAAGATGTTACTGCAAAGCAGGATCTGAGCAGTGTCCAAAGACATCGTTGTTGCTTTTGGCATTCTTGTTTAGAATTCTAAAGGCAGCCCATCTGAGAAGGACTCAAAGAGGTGGGCTTCAGGCTGGGTTGGAATAATAGTTGGAATTTTAGTAGGTGTAGAATAAGAGGAAGAACATTTTAGATATGGAAATTATCACCTGGGCAAGGACAGGTACTAGAAATAATGCCTTGTGTCTAGGGGCTAGGTAGGTGGCATTGACCAGTGTAGGGAATAGTGGGGAATAACTTGCTCCATTCCACACTCTTTTTTTTTAATATTCTTTTAGTTTTTTCTAAATATTCTTTTAGGTGGACACAATACCTTTATTTTATTTTTATGGGGTGCTGAGGATCGAACCCAGTGCCTTCCACATGCGAGGCAAGCACTCTACTGCTGAGCTACAACCCAGCCCTCCATTACACATTCTTTACTTGTTCTCCCATAGGAATAATCTGGTCTCCAAAGAAAATACATATGTTCTTGAAAAACTGAAGTAAGTTTCAAGGAAAAGGGAATAAGCACACTCTCCCTGGCATGGCTGATTTTGTGGCAGGTTTGCCATTTTGTGGTCAACACCTTGGAAAGGGTGATAAGCTCATTTTTAAAAATGTTCACTGAGCTTCAATTTTATGTCAGGTACTGTTCTGGGCCAACATTCATCAGTAAATAGACATAAACTTCAACCTGGTGGAGCTAAGGTTCTAATGTAAATATAGTAAAGAGGAAAAAGGAGAAACAAAGGGATTATTAGTGGGAAAGGGTGAAAAGAGAACAATCCTGAAGATGGTCTAGGACAACACATCCCAAATAAGATTTCAACCACAGCATCTTCTTCAGTCAGATGCCCAAACTTGAGTTTGGAGAGGTGGAGCCTCAATTTGTATTTCTGAGCCAACCAGAGGTTCTTGTTGGCAGGTCCCACCTGACTCTATTCCACTTAGGACAGGTTTCCCAATTTGCCTGAAATTTTCCCAAGGGTAAAGAATAACTTCACATTCCTGGTAAATCAAAATATCCAAGGAATGAGCTTGGGGGTAGACAGGATTTTATGTTTTGTTTCGTTTTGGTTTTAACATTTTTTTAGTTGTAGATGGACACTATCTTTGTTTTATTTATTTATTTTTTTATGTGGTGCTGAGAATCGAACCCAGTGCCTCACGCATGCGAGGTAAGCACTCAACCACTGAGCTACTCAACCCCAGCCCAGGATTCCATGTTTTTAATAATCAACTCCTGTATCTATTATCTTGAAACAAATCTCAACCATTATGTTTTTTCATTTATACCTATTTCAGTATGGATCTCTAAAAGATAAAGGTTCTTATTAAAAATATAAACCCAACTTCATTATTACATCTAAAAACATTAGCAGAATGTAATATACTTACAATTCATCAGGAATTGCAACATTTCAATGCCAATAGATTGTAAGAAATCATATGTTTCGGGGGGCTGGGGTTATGACTAAGTGGTAGGGCGCGTGCCTTGCACGTGTGAGGCACTAGGTTTGATCCTCAGTACCACATAAAAATAAATAAAATAAAGGTGTTGTGTCCATCTACAACTAAAAAAAATATTTTTAAAAAACAAATTGTACATTTTTATGTCAGAATTGATTAGAATTATATGAGTCTAGTTACATGAAGTCTTTGGGAGCACACACTACATAAAATGCAGCTGGCCTACATTTAAGCCCTAGATATTTGTTCAGAATTTATTGTACCTGTTTATATGCTATTTACTGAGGACATAAAGATGAATATGACAAGATTCCTGCTTATGAGTATAGCACTATAATATCATTTTAACTCTTAATGTCTAGATGATAGTCTATTAGTAATATTTGTTTTGTTTTGGTACTGGAGATTGAACCCAGGGGCACTTAACCAATGAGCCATATCCTTAGCCCTTTTTTAAAATTTTATTTTGAAACAGATTCTTGTGAAGTCACTTAGAATCTTGCTAAGTTGCTGAGGCTGGTTTTGAACTCAAGATCTTCCTGTCTCAGCTTCTTGAGTAGCTGGGATTACAGGTGTGCACCACTGTACCTGGCTTTCTATTAGTAATATTTGAAGTCAGTGTTTTAATCTGTTATAATCGAGCTTTGCTCATTCTTTCCACTCTCAGCTGGTTGGTATGGGAGAGTGGGCAGCGAAAAGCATTCTGCAATGCTGAGGGCTTTGGTACTTTCAGTTTTGTATCTCTTGTATATCCAGATCCACTCAAGACTTGAGATTCAACCAATAGTTTCTTTTGATACCCTCCTTCATTGAGAGTTGAGGCCACCTCTCCACCCAAACTGGTACAGAATTAGCAGTTGAAATATGTTCACTCCAGGGCCATCTTTGCATCAGTCAGATGATGTGTACACAGATCTTCTGTCAGTAGATTCTTAGTGACTTTCAAAATTTTGAGGAACTGAGGTGTAGCTCAAAGATAGGACACTTGCTTAGCATGTACAAGACCCTGGATTCAATTTCCAGCATCACAAAGTTTCTAAAAGATCAAAATTAAAAAAAAAAATATATATATATATATATGTTCTGAGTAGTCTAGCAAACATGTTAAGCAGAATTTATTTTACTTTTTAATTATACAACGACACAATATCTTTATTTTGTATATTTATTTTTATGTGGTGCTGAGGATCGAACCCAGTGCCTCACATGTGCTAGGCAAGCACTCTGCCACTAAGGCACAACCTAGTCCCTTAAGCAGAATTTTTATTGGCTCCAAAATTTATTTACTTATTTTGGTCAATGGACCTTTATTTTATTTATTTATAGTAAGTGCTGAGAATTGAACCCAGTGATTCACATATGCTAAGCAAGCGCTCTACCACTGAGCCACAGCCCCAGCCCTAAAGTTTTTTAGCATGTGTATTTCTAGATAATTTTAGAATCTGTTGTTTCTCAAACTTAACTTAGACCACCTAAGATTATTTCCTCAGACACCAGAGTTTGAGAAACAATGATTTGTGTGGTTAATGATTCTTATAGTCATTAAACTCAAGATCATTAGTACTATGTTGTAGTGAGTTTATCTTCTTTCTTTTCTTTTGTACAGTAGAATGAACCCAGGGGTGCTTAACTATTGAGCCACATCCCCAGACTTTTCTATTTTTGAGACCGGGACTCACCAAGTTGCTTAGGGCCTTGCCAAAATGCGGAGGCTGGCTTTGAACTTGCAATCCTCCTGCCTCTGCTTTCCAAGTTGCTGGGATTACAGACATGCCCACCATACCTGGCTGGAATTTATCTTAATTAGGTTTGGGCCCTATATTTATTATTATTTTCTTGCTGAAATAATAATAAATTCTTGAATTTCATGGATTCCTGTGTTTCCATTTTTAGTTAATCACTGTTGATAGTCCATTCCTTGCAAACCATTGAGTTCTGGTGGTCCTAGATGCTGAAGAACTTAAATGGTTTTCAAACTTTTTTCTTCCAGTTAAGTAAGAGTTTAACCACTCAGTTGAAGGATATGTATGGTTACAAGTGAGGTGTCAGAGTGCCTCCACCAACAACCTTCGTAGGCTTCCAGAACAGCTCCTGGATGCCTCAAAGAATCCTAGGCCCTGGGAACAAAGTTTAAAATTTACTAATGTGGTCTATTAACTTCATTTAGAGATGGAAATAAAGGGGCCCCAAGAGGTTGGGGCTTGTTAATCACAAGTGTTCATCTAAAACAAGTCCTATGACTTCCAAATTCATCATTTCCCCCATGTCCCTAGCCTCTGTGAAGCCTTGGCAGATTTTGTTCCCAGGCCTCTAGCATTGTTGCTGTGCTGCCCCACATTACAGCCCATTGTGTTTGCCAACTGGAATGCTTGATATTAGGCACATTTATTTTTTTTTCTTTCTTTTTTTTCTTTAAAGAGAGAGAGGGAGAGAGAGAGAGAATTTTTAATATTTATTTTTTAATTATCGGCGGACATACTTCTTTGTTTGTATGTGGTGCTGAGGATCAAACCCAGGCCGCATGCATGCCA